TTACTTGGACTGGTTACATTCAAACTTCACATATACATCATACATAATATTATAATATTATACATATGCACATCTGATTCAAGATGGCCAAAAATCAAGCATTTATGGGTGGATTTTGTTCAAACTTGATATTTTATTTTTCAGATCAAATTTAAAATGGCCGACTTGCGGCTATTTTGTTTTAATGAATGCAGTTCTAGTGCCATATCTCTACCATGCTTTGACTGATTATGTTCAAATTTTATACCGTATATTCGTTATAAATCATGACATAGATATACAGAAATATTGGTTTTGACTATCTGATTCAAAAATAAGGCATTTCTGGCATTCCAGAACCAGATCTTGGCGTTTATGGATGGATTATGTTCAAACTTGGTACATACATCAGACATTATGGGTTCCTGATGCACATCATTTTATTTTTCAGATCGGATTCAGAATGGCTGACTGGCGGCTATTTTGTTTTAATGAATGCACTTCTAGAGCCATATCTCTGACATGCTTTTGACTGATTATGTTCAAATTGTATATATTCATTATACGTCATGTTATAGATATATTCAAAATGGCCGACCGGTGGCCATTTTGTTTTAATTAATGCTGTTCCAGAGCATTAATTTTTCAATTTGGACAAGTACTTTCCAAATCAATATAATCAAGCATCAGCTTTTGGATCCATATCTCTGACATGTTTATGTTCCAACTATATTACTACAAAAAACTACATGTATATATCTTAAATTTTATAACTAACGGCTACTGTGCAATGCATAGCTTGTTCCATTTCAATCACGAGTGGGTGTACGTGGTGGGGTTACTAGATCAGTCAGCCTGAATGTTCATACTTTGTAATTCACATTAAATTTACATTTTCTAATTTATCTGGTAAGTTTTTTATTATTATATTCACCTTACATTTTCAGAAATTGTTTCTCACAGCTTGTAGCCACATTATCACAGCGATCGTAACTAGTTTTACCGGTAGTTTTACCGATGTTGATTTTCAACAAGCTGGTCAAAGCTGCCGTTCAAGATAAATCTGTGGACATAACTGAATGTTGTGGAGGTGAAATGTCAGCACCAAGAAAGACATTTGTAAAATCTCATCTCTGGTTTGAGGTCAGATCTTACCACTGGTCCAAAGTCAATTCTCTCCACTGGTCAGAGGTCAAATCTCTTCTGATCAGAGGTCAAATCTCTCCACTGGTCTGAGGTCAAATCTCTCCACTGGTCTGAGGTCAGATCTCACAACTGGTCTGAGGTCAGATTTCACAAGTGGTATGAGGTCAGATCTCACAACTGGTCTGAGGTCATATCTCACCAATGGTCCTAGATCAGATCTCACCAATGGCCCAAAGTCAGATATCACCACTGGTCCAAGGTCAGATCTCACAACTGATCCAAGGTCAGATCTCACCACTGGCCCAAAGTCAGATATCACCACTGGTCCATGGTCAGATCTCACCACTGGTCCAAGGTCAGATCTCACCACTGGT